ACCAGGCCACATGCCCTCGGCAGTGGGAGGGTGCTTTTCCAGGGTCGCCCAAGGAAAAGCACCTTGTCCTCGTGCCGATGGGGACAAGGGCCTCTTCCCCACAAGCAATGGGGCGTTGGTTGTGGGGGTCTGCGGGCAGGGGGCTTATTCACATCCGAGTATCCCTTTAATGAAGGGGCACCCAGATGCCGCCCCCCCCCCTTGTGAATGAGTAAGGGGTACTTGTACTCCTACCCATTGACTAATGGGTTAAATCAAATTGTAAATAAAAAGTCCAGACTTTTGAAAAAATCCTTTATTTGGAACAAAAAAACAAAAGACAATTTTTAGACAAGTCTTTTATCTAAAATAAAAAACAAACAAAAAAAGGATCCACCGGCGTAATCCAGGGTCAATCATGACGTCCAGCGTTGTCAACGACGACAACGACTCGAAGAAATAAAAAAAGAAAAAATAAATTGAAATAATATTTTTTTTTTAAACTATGACCGCCGCGCCCGTCTGATCGCAGCGAACTCACGCCGCATAATGTCATTTTGACAGATACCGGCAACATATAAACAATTGGGCGGAGCTAGCAGTGACAGCTAGCTCCGCCCAACTGTTCACAGTTGTATGGCATCTGACAGTTGAGCCATGATTGGGCAAAGTCATCATTACTTTGCCCAATCATGGCTCTTACAGAGTACTGGGCCCTGATTGGGCTTTAGCCAATCAAGGATTCACAAGGCTCATTGACTTGTGGGGAGCTCGACGTGTGGATACACCGCCGAACGCCCTGACAGCTCGTGTGTTCGCCCATCTCTAGTCAGGAAGCACAGCTGGGGACATGCTCCTTTGTCCGTGCACTTCCGTAGGCCTCGTCTGTGAGTGTGACAGCCGGATCCCACTCGGTGCATCTGGAGCACTGACAGCATCTGCTGTATGCATGAAGTCTACAAACAGCGAAGGATTCATTCATGAATACATTGTAACATTATTGCCGCAATGTATTCTGGTGAGGGCTGATGTCACAATTTAAGAACTGTTTTGATTGGCGCATAAAGTCAGTTCCAGCAAACCTACAATTGGGAACTTTTAGGCAATTCCTTTTCCTATTTAACCCTTTATTAACTCCTTCTTTACCAGAATCATTCCTTATTAACTCCTCCCACTGACACCAATGATGGGGCACTATTCCTCCCACTGATACCAATGATGGGACACTATTCCTCCCACTGACACCAATGATGGGGCACTATTCCTCCCACTGATACCAATGATGGGACACTATTCCTCCCACTGACACCAATGATGGGGCACTATTCCTCCCACTGATACCAATGATGGGACACTATTCCTCCCACTGACACCAATGATGGGGCACTATTCCTCCCACTGATACCAATGATGGGACACTATTCCTCCCACTGACACCAATGATGGGGCACTATTCCTCCCACTGATACCAATGATGGGACACTATTCCTCCCACTGACACCAATGATGGGGCACTATTCCTCCCACTGATACCAATGATGGGACACTATTCCTCCCACTGACACCAATGATGGGGCACTATTCCTCCCACTGATACCAATGATGGGACACTATTCCTCCCACTGACACCAATGATGGGGCACTATTCCTCCCACTGATACCAATGATGGGACACTATTCCTCCCACTGACACCAATGATGGGGCACTATTCCTCCCACTGATACCAATGATGGGACACTATTCCTCCCACTGACACCAATGATGGGGCACTATTCCTCCCACTGATACCAATGATGGGACACTATTCCTCCCACTGACACCAATGATGGGGCACTATTCCTCCCACTGATACCAATGATGGGACACTATTCCTCCCACTGACACCAATGATGGGGCACTATTCCTCCCACTGATACCAATGATGGGACACTATTCCTCCCACTGACACCAATGATGGGGCACTATTCCTCCCACTGATACCAATGATGGGACACTATTCCTCCCACTGACACCAATGATGGGGCACTATTCCTCCCACTGATACCAATGATGGGACACTATTCCTCCCACTGACACCAATGATGGGGCACTATTCCTCCCACTGATACCAATGATGGGACACTATTCCTCCCACTGACACCAATGATGGGGCACTATTCCTCCCACTGATACCAATGATGGGACACTATTCCTCCCACTGACACCAATGATGGGGCACTATTCCTCCCACTGATACCAATGATGGGACACTATTCCTCCCACTGACACCAATGATGGGGCACTATTCCTCCCACTGATACCAATGATGGGACACTATTCCTCCCACTGACACCAATGATGGGGCACTATTCCTCCCACTGATACCAATGATGGGACACTATTCCTCCCACTGACACCAATGATGGGGCACTATTCCTCCCACTGATACCAATGATGGGACACTATTCCTCCCACTGACACCAATGATGGGGCACTATTCCTCCCACTGATACCAATGATGGGACACTATTCCTCCCACTGACACCAATGATGGGGCACTATTCCTCCCACTGATACCAATGATGGGACACTATTCCTCCCACTGACACCAATGATGGGGCACTATTCCTCCCACTGACACCAATGATGGGACACTATTTCCCCCACTGACACCAATGATGGGACACTATGCCTCCCACTGACCCCAATGATGGGGCACTATTCCCGCCACTGACACCAATGATG